CTGAAAGGCGGGGGAACCAGCCGACACGGCCATTGACGACTCGGAAGACCATCTCTTGAATGCCGGATGCTGCGGTTTGCTTTGCAGGTTCCTGTGCCACTCTGGAAGAAGAGTGAGCAGACTGGAATCCTGAACATTAGCATCACTTTGCAGGCCCGTCACTTTTGGTCAAATTAGTCTAAGAGACGCGGTGGGCCCGGGGGCTGGGGGCCAGCGATTCGTTAGCGATAGCTCAAGCCTTGCTGCAGTCCGCGGGTGGCTATGGTGGCTCGCCTGTGCCTGTGCTGGCCTCATTCGAGTGTCAAGCGCTGGTGACCATAGTAGAATTAATAGAACATTAAGAGTAGTCCGTAACCTGAGGTCAGCAACGGCCTGAGATTCGCAAGAGCCTATGAGAAGCTCAGGCAACAAGGCTAACATGTGTAATAGGAGTCCAAGAGTGGCATGTGCAACAGTACCAAGATCGGAAACTAGAGCATCAGAGTGCAAAAACCAACCATAGGGTTTTAGCCTAACGCTGCTGCTGCCGCTGCAGCTACTTGCTACTTGCTGCTGCTTGTGCTGCTGCCTGCTATTTCCACAACCACCGAAACCATCACAATCACCACCACGAACACCACCAACACCAGTATTACCACTACTCCTACCACCCTGAGTTACTAGTCACAAGAAGGATTGTGAAGAGGGTAAAGACTACTGCCAATGATCGATCTATGACTAGCATCATTCTCGTTCATGATGTATAACTTGGCATCATTCAGCGTGCGAGTTATTGCCAACAGAACCACATGACCATCATCATCATCATCATCATCATCACCAGCTCCACCAGCAGCACTAGCAGCACCAGCAGCACCAGCACCAGCGCCAGCGCCAGCGCCAGCACCAGCACCAGCACCAGCACCAGCACCGCCGTCACCGTCACCTTGACCGTCACCGTCACCATCACCATCAGCACCATCACCGCCACCACCACCGCCACCACCATCACCATCATCATCATCATCACCATCATCATCATAGTCATCATCATAGTCATCATCATCATCATGCTCATCACCAACATCATCATCATCGTCATCATCATCATCATCCTCGTCGTCATCATCATTGTCATAGTCGTAGTCATAGCCATCATCATCATCATCGTCATCGTCATAGTCATCATCATCATCATCATCATCATGACATCATCATCATGACATCATGACATCATGACATTTCGACATCATGATCAGACACATCATCGTCGTCGTCATCATCATCGTCATGATCAGACATGTCATCTTCGTCGTTTTCATCACCGTTATTATTAGCATCATCGTCATGTGCAGGTTTAT